AAAAAAACCCCCCCCCCCCCCCCCACACATCTTTACATACCAAAAACCAAAAACCCAGCAACATTTACAAAACTTACTTGTGAAAAAAAAAAGAAAAAGACAAAACCCCATCAACAGCATGTCTAGTATAATGAAGTATGTGCAGTACTGGAGTCCCAGCTGCTACAGGAGGCCTTTCTGTGTGGAGTTTGTATGTTCTCTCTGTGTTGACGTTGGTTTCCTCTGGGTTTCTTCCACAATCCAAAGACATACAGGACAGGTGAACTGGAGACTGTAAGTGAGTGTGAATATGAATGTGTGCATGTTTGTCATCCCTGTGATGGAGTGGCCATCTGTCCAGAGGGTTTTCCTGCTTATGACCCAGGAAAGGCTCCAGCCTCCTCATGACCCTACATAGGACAAGTGCTTTGGAAAATGTATGGAATAGATGGATGGATGTTCAGCACTGTGAGGGTTCTAGTACTCCCTCTCTCTGCCACTTTTTTCCCCCTAAAAAACCAATCTGTCTTCCTTGATCCATGTTTCCAAACAAAGTCATTCCGAAGCCATCCATTTATCAAAATATAACCAAAAAAGAAAGAAAGAGAATTTCAGCTGAAATTGCAGTTAGTTGCGTTTGGAATAATTATTATTCAACTTCATAATAAATATTCTGCTAAGATTTTGTATTTCAATATAATTCCTGCAGAAATGGACAGATTTGATTTGAATGAGCTTTTATCCGTTTTGAAAGCAGTTTGTTAGCATTTGAAAAATGTGCTGAAAATGTATAGTGTTTTGCAGATTTTAGAGTATGAATGACAAAAGTCTTTGTGGATTTTGACAAATGTGGTCATTGCATGCATTTTGTCTGAAAGCAATAAAAAAATGGTTCACAGTTTGGTCCGCAAAGACTTCTGTCTCGCTGAATGTGTGAACAGTTTTGAAAATGTGGCTTCAGTATTGAACAATGCTTCGACTTCCAGCTTTATCACCCTCTAAAAAGACATTTACGTATTGTAGGAAAGACAAATACTGATAACAATGATATAGAATTTTTTTTCTCTCCCAACAACAGTCATCTTGAAACTGATCATACCTGCACATACACAGTCCTCAGTTGATTCGCTTTCATTATCTAAACATTTAATATTGTTCATCATTTTCCATAAAGCTATGCTTCATGCAACAGTTATGTAGCATTTTGAGCAGTTGTATCAACTGATAGTTAGATCATCGTAATGAAATGAATAGACACTCAACTCAGATGTAATGCGTGAGTTGCATTTTGAAATAGGAATACTTTGATGTTACGTTGTGTCATTTTGATTTTAGTTCAATGAATGTGCATTTTGATCATCGGTTGTGAATTATGTGTCTAGAGTTTTGAAAAATGACATGAAAATTCTGTTATTAGTGCAAAAATGATTGTAAAAACTGTAGGCTAAATAAAGGTACATAGTCCTCTCTAATGGTTATTTTCATCTTATGAAATAAATAGGTAGTTAAAAAGATAGACGAGTTCACTGCTAACAGGTGTGATTTGAAACAGATAATGTTAACTCGAATGGATAAACGGTAAATAAAACTTTTAGCGAGGACACTAAAGTTACTACTAGAATAGAAACTTACATTTTCAACAATTTGGCATTCTAAAAACCACCTCTCTTTATTACTGGAGGTCAATGTTATGTAATTCAA